CCTGAGGCAATGAACAAATAAAAATTAAAACAATTCAAATATTAAAAACCTTTTAAAAACACGTTAAAATATTCTTTAAACAACCAATCAGAAAAAAATCCTAGAATCTAGTTTTGAAACCGTTAAAACAGCAGTTTCAAACACTGAATGCAATGCAGAACAGCACTGTTTGGGATCGCTTTTGAAGTCCTTTGGGTTATTTCAATATCAGCAGCACAATATGTTGTTGTTGTGTGCCTTCAAGTCATTTCTGACTTATGGCAATCCTAAGGTGAACCTGTCACAAGGTTTTCATTGTAGAATTTGTTCAGACTGAGGGGGCTTCCCTTTGCCTGCACTGTGGCTGAGAGTGTGTGACTTGCCCAAGGTGATCCAGTGGGTTTCTGTGATCAAACAGAGATTCAAGCCCTGATCTACCTGATCAACATTCAAGCCACTACACCACATTGGCTCTAGCTTTCTGTGAAATTAAATCTCACTGAAACACTGAAATGCTAATCTTTACAGAGGCATTTTATGTTTGTTGTATTATGAATACAGGCCCTTCTCTGGTATGATGTCCACCTGGCTGAAAAGTGGTCTCCCATTAGAGGACCAACTGGGACTGACATTTCCTCATCAAGTTAAAAGTTGATTGCTCATCCCAGATTATTTGAGGGAAGTGTCCATGGCTTCCTCTTGGATTGTGAGGTTGTTGGTTTGTCTTCTGTTTCATTTGTTTTACTTTATAATGCTTAATTTTAAAATGTCAATTCGAATTGTTCTTAAATTGCTTTTTATGACCTTTATGCCTGTATCATCTGTAAAATATTTAAATTTTGGTTTGTTTGTTGTGTGTGCCTTCAAGTCATTTCTGACTTATGGCAACCATAAGGTGAAACCTATTTCGGGGGTTTTCTTGGCAAGATTTGTTCAGAGGACATTTGTCATTGCCTTCCCCAGAGGCTGAGAGTATGTGACTCACCCAAGTGGGTTTCATGGACAAGCTGGGAATCAAACTCTGGTCTCCCAAGTTACAGTCCAACACTCAAACCCCTACGCCACAAATATTAAATTAGAGATGTTACAATAAATAATGCATAATAAATTACCTTGTAAGATGGCCAAAATTTTTCCCATAAATTTGCAAAGATGTCACTTTCACCATCCAGGAGAGAGAGGCCTGGAAAACACAGAAAATTGATCTCACAAACCATGTCTCCATCCCCAGAAGTTCCCCCTGCCTTTCCCCTCTCACCCCTGCTGTTTCTCACCTGTGTAAAATGCCCCAATGGTGATCGGGGCAGCTATGGCCTGGTCACAAGCGACCTTTATGATCACCCTGGTAACATTTGCTCCTGGAAGAAGGCGTTCCAGGGTCCGGAACCAGACATAATTGAAGTTGGCGTGGAACGTGAACCCTACCAGTGCCACTTTGGCCGTCTGCTTCAGATCCAAAGGAGTGCCCCAAAGTTGGTCCTGATGGAGTCCTGACAATACCTGCTGGGCCACATCTGCTAAAGAAAACAGTGTCCCATAGGCAGCAATATTTAGTACCCAAGGATGGCGATGGACCAGGCTGAGTATGGAGCGCATTCAGTTGGCAGAAGTGCAGTTTCTCAAGGTGGCACAAGGTGCTGGAGCTCTTTTCTCAGATGGGTTGTGATAGAACCTCCACAGACAGGTATTCTTTTTGCAAATGCACAGAGAAAGAGATGGAGGGAAGGAAAGACAAACACTGAAGGAGAAGGAGGAGCGAGAGACAGGGTCAATCAGGCTGTAGTCCTTACATCATTTTGGGAGCCTTTGTTGGCAGAAAAATAATAATGAACACTTTATGAATTCAAACAAAAATCCATCAGGGATACCTTTATTGGCCAACCAAAATGTACAATATACTTGTTGCAAGCTCTTGAAGCTCCATGGGCTTCTTCATCAGAAAAAAATGTTATAAACCAAAGAGGATAAAAACAATGGAGATGTTAGTTGGATGACTACATGTTATTCAGTCTTTAGGCATATGGTGAGGAGGATATCTTTTGTAGGCAGGATCCTCCTCCTTCTGGCCCTGTGGTCCCTACTGAGATACAATTGTTTTTAAATTTCCTGGACTTTGCAAATCTCCCTATAGCCACAGGGCC